AGAGGAAGGATGTGTGGGTAGGTGTGTGTGTGTGTGTGTGGGGACAGGACGCTCAGGTTTATTCAGATAAAGGGTCGGTTATCTGAATGCCAGTTCAAGCTCCCTGTAAGGGAAATTGCTGCTTGTCCTGATGTCTGCTTGCCTCTTTTATTAGGCCAGTTTTCTACGTCTGGTGTTTGTCTACCAGGTGCTACTAATGTGGGATGCTTGGTAGCTACCCTTCTCTCCAGTGTTGAGTAGTACTCTGGGTTATCTGTCCTATTTATTGCACTGGTATCCCACTTGTTCCCTCTTCTGTGTCCTCTTTATATTTGCAACAACTCTCTGCGGGTTGGTTAGCTCTTGGCCCCATGGCTAATGGGAGTCTGAACCTAGATCTCCAGATCCAAAGATCTGTCCACTTTACTACACTTTGCAGTCTCTGGGCTAATCTAGAACTGAAGCATCCAATCTGATGCAGAAGGTAAACCTCTATGGTCTTTTTTCAGATCATCACAGAGGGTAGGACACGTAGGACCAAAGGATTTAGGCTGTAGCTGACCTTGTATCCCTTATTCCCTTTTCCATTTGCTGTCTCTAGAAGATGTCTTTTCACTTCACACTCCAAATCTTCAAATAGAAGGTGGAGAGAGTGGTGGAGCAGAATACAAATTCAACATACCATGTTTTAAAAAGTGTGTGATAATTTGACTTTACAAGTTTTTGGTATGTTTCTGCCAGCTTGAGATATTATGTAACTGCCCAGAAAATAAGTACGTTTTATGGAAAAGTATTTATTTTATAGAAATGCAAGGTTCTTGTGATTTAAGAGCCATGGACTGTTTTCAAAAAATACTACTGTTTGTAAAGGAAGCTTGACAACAGCCTCACAACTTGTCGAGATGAGTGCCCTGGAGATAGAGTGCTGAGTCCTTTGCAAGGCTTGTGTTGCTGTGGTTGTTCAGTGATAGCCATGTGGTTTTGTAAGATGACCATACTGAAAAGAATGCAAAACCAAAATGGCAAACTCTGCCTTGTGGCGTACGTGGTGTCTCATGCAACAAGTAAGAGGACTCATGGGGGCAAGTGTCAATAATTTGCCACTGCATTTGAGTCAAGACACAGTCTTCAGCTAAATGAACGTATGGACTGACTTAGTCAAAACAGACTGATGTGTTCACATGAATCAAAGAGTTTTGTTACTATCAAAGAGGGCAAGAGTCTCTGGAGAGAATTCAGAATAGGTTGGACTAGAATACCCTTAATGGACTAGACAAATTCAGGAAGTGCATTGTTATCCATGTATATCATTAACTTTCAAAGATGCTCATAAGGCATGGAATAAAGATCTTTGGGGAAATTGTAGGTGCTGTTTCAAGAGTAAAAAGTTGGATTTGGCAATCTATTGATTCCTTTTTAAGAATAGCTAATCATTGCTTTCCTATAGAACAGAAGACATTACTTTTCTATCTCCAACTCGTCTGTATTACTGCTGCTACTTTCTTTGTGTTCTTCTACATCTGTTGCTACTTTTGATGTGGGACATGTTGATCCAAAGCATGAGAATGGTGGGTATTATGGACACAGTTAAGCTCCTTGGCTGGAAGAGAAGGATTGTGCCATTCAATGATGTGGGGCTCTTATGTTTTTCACCTCATTAGCCTTTACACTAATTAGATTTATAAGAAGTAGAAGTTTTTCCTCATTCTGAGAATTTTTAGAAAAGATATAAATCTTGGACAACTGATTTATTTTGGGAATGAGCAGATTGAAGCATATTTAGAAGATGTTGCTAAATCATTGACTTGGCACTTGGAAGTTTTAGTTGAAAGGGTGGAGGCACGGTGCCTATAAAGCAGTGTTAACTGCGCCTTGAATCATACTTGGCAAATCTCTCAGGGACTCTGTTATCTGGCTAGAATGACAGGCCCTCTGCTGTTTATTATAGTACAAAGTATGAATCTGAGTCTCTAGATCAGAGAGTCTCCATCTGTGAAGCGTCACCCCTGAGGCAGTACTGGAAAGAGTTGGAGATCATGGAGCTGAGAGATTCTCTTGTTTAAGACAAGTAGGTTCGCAGTCTGCATTATAAAGGCACATATTACGAGAATACAGAGAGACAGGGGAAGGGGGGTTACAGAGAAAAAATGTGAAGCCAGTAAATGTGGGAGAAAATATTAATACTTACTTGAGATACTTACAGCCTTCTTTTAGCTTTAAGGCTCAAGTTTAGTAACAACGGGGTGTTCAGCCGAGACTGAGTCCCTTCTTTCAGACTAAGAAGCCTTTATAACATTTCCTGCAATGGAGGAGTTACTTAAGGTGACGGAAATCCCCTTAGGCTGGAGGAAAGCTTCAGAGTTTGCTGAGCAGAATGACTGGATCCACCTCAATGGTTCCTTGTTTGTCATGATGTAGCACTGTTATTCCCATTTCACAGATGAGAAACTGAGGTTGCAAGGAGGTGGTATTGTTTGCCAAGGGGGTCAGTTACTCAAGTGGGGTGGCTTGATACTCCCTCAGTAGCTGCATCCATATGTCAAAGTTAACCACAGTTTAAACTAGCAAGAGGTTCAAGGTTACTGCAGCAGAGCCTTCTCCACTGTGATGCCTCCAGGAGATCAGATGGTGTCTCCCACTACTAGTGAGAGCTTTTGTTTGCCAAGGGGTTTGCTAAGGTAGGTTGAACTTCCTGGCCCCATTAGGGCTGCCAACCTCCAGGTAGGCACTGGAGATCTCCTGGAATTACTGCTGATCTTCAGGCTACTGAAATCAGTTCCTTTGAAGAAAATGTCTGCTTTGAAGGGTTGACTCTATGGTATTATACCCTGCTGAAGCTCTCTCCAAGCTCTTCCCCCAGATCTCCAGGAATTTCCCAGTCTGGAGTTGGCAACTCTAGCCCCAAGACATGTTTGAACCCACTTTATTTGAATGGGAAAAATATTAATTTGCATGTTTTGGGATGTCAGTTATACTATTTGAATGTATTTTTTAGGAACAGAATACAAATATGGACAAAAACCTCTGGAGAAGTTTCTAACTTTAGGCAGGTACTGGGTAGTTTTTAGAAGATAACTGTTGCTGTTTTTATTGAGGGAAAGCTCTATTAAACTAGCACTTGCATATCAGTAACCTATGGTCGCTAGCTAAATCTTCTTTATTCATGTAGTGTATTCCTTAAAAAGGGCAGCACGCAGCTATGTGTTCTGTAAAACATGCACTCTGCCAAGCAAGTCTGCTCTTAATGTTAGTGTTTTCCCTCTAGATTACACTTAATAGTGAGAGGTAGGATTATAGTTTGCCATTTCAAAAAGCCATTTTGTCTCATGTGACTTAACACCGAGAATTTTTTGGCAACACAACTCATCACGATGACGAAGTGTTTAGGAAACGTTTGTGGCACTTGTCTCTTTATCTTCTGGAAGTCTGCAACAATACATCGGAAGACATGGAAGACGGTGAGCCAGTTCATTAGCTGAAAAAGATTGTCTGCATGAAGGTTGGGTTTTGGCCTCAATTAAATGTTATCACAAAAAAACCTGAACCTCCAGGAGCAAACTGTGAAATGTACTTCATGTACTGTTCGGCGGTGATTTTGTAAATGTTCTGTTCCAAGACCATTGCGGGGCAAAAGTAGGAAAGAGGTTACAAGTCGTTCTGTTGACAGAGAAAACATTGCAGCATAATGAGGGGAAGCCTTAGTTTATGGAGTATTGGCATCTGTTTGTTTGAAAGCCTGCATCCTGCTTTTTCTGTAACAATCAGAGCAGTATACAGTGAAAACTAAAACACATCATACAACAGTCTATTGTACTCCAGAATGCAAAAACTTAGTGTAAACTATCATGTGTGGGAAAGATTAGTTAGAAATCCTTGTATATTTGGGGAAGGCTTAGGACTAACAAATTGAGTTGGCAATCATGGAAGATTTTTGTGTGCACACTTGTGGAAGCACTACAATGACTCCATGTGTGCAAAGCAAAGCACCAAAGTATTTCTTTGGATGCTGTTTCAAAACCAAATTGTATGAAACCATGTGAACCATCGATACATTCCGTTGGTCTATGTGCATGTTGTTATTTCATTAAAATTATATTAAAGTAAAGGTAAAGGTTCCCTTGCTCGAAAGCCAGTCAAGTCCGACTCTAGGGTTGCGGTGCTCATCTCCGTTTCAAAGCCGAAGAGCCAGCGCTGTCCGAAGTCGTTTCTGTGGTCATGTGGCCGGCATGACTAAACAGCAAGGCGCACGGAACGCTGTTACCTTCCCACTGAAGTGGTACCTATTTATCTACTTGCAATTTCTTGCTTTCAGACTGCTAGGTTGGCAGGAGCTGGAACTAGAGACGGGAGCTCACTCCGTCATGCGGCACACTCGGGTCTCGAACTGCTGGACTCTACTGACCTTCCACAGCCTGCAGTTCAGCGTCTTAACCACTTGAGCCACCGCAGCTCCAAAATTATATTAAAGAGCCGCAAATTGGGAGAAAAGCCATTGCACTGCTGCTTGCACAAGTGGAACTGCTTATACATGGCTGGATCCTGTTTGGGAAACACTTGGAGATTTGTGGGGTAGAGCCGGGGGGGGTCAGAGTTTGGGGAGGAGGGGGGGACATCAGCAGGGTATAATGCCATTGAGTCTATCCTCCAAAGCAGCCATTTTCTCCAGGGGAACTGATCTCTGTCATCTGGAGATCAGTTGTAATCCCAAGAGCTCTCCAGCCCACAACTGGAGGTTAGCGACCCTACCAACCCATCAAATTTGGAGAGAAGACTAATGCCAAACAATGTTCTCGACACTGCTTCCTTCTGACTTATAAGTACTGTTTACAATGTAGCATACATTGAAAGGGAAAATCAGAGCTGGTTGATCAGACAGACAGTAGGCAAACACAAGCTGAGAGCCATTCTGTTAAGAAAATAGCACAGGTACGCTTTGACCTGGCATCTTCCTTCTAGAGTGATTTACAGTGGTCTGTACAGCAGGACATCCATTCCTTTCTTTTTTTGTGCCTGTTTTTTAGGTTGCAGCTGCTCCCTGGTGGATGCCTGTTAAAGGAGCTAATTGGAGGCACCCCGAGGGTCCTGATTCTGATACCTCAAACCGGTGAGATCCAGAAAGCGAATGCCTTTCAACTCTGATGCGTTGGTCTCTTTCAAATGTGGTGTGTGTTTAAAAACCAGAGAAGCTTGCCCCTTGAAGCTTGCCCCTTTTATAATTCATGCAGAATGCATGGATTTTTTTTTTTACTCTGTCTCCTAGGGCAAACAATTTAGTGACAAACTGCTTCACAAACTCTGCTTTTGTGTACCTGGGATATTTACTTTTGGCTGTTTTGGGCCACTTTGTTTCCAGTGCTTTCCTTCCATCTTGCTCTCGTATACTTTGCTCATATGTAACCAAGGTGTATAGTATACTCACGGTTATTATTTGTGTGAAGTATTTTTTTTGCCTGGTGAAGCCTTGTTGAGTGCTATGCCTGGTACATTATTAATATCTTTGGACCACACTGCCTCGTAGATGCACACAATGTAGAAATAGGGGTGCAGTGCTTGCTGTGAAGGCCGTCTGGTCAATAATTCATTTTCTGCTTGGAAACATCTACAGTACTCCACAGAAAAAACCATCTGTGTTAGGGCTGCTGCCTCTGGCCTGGAAAATGGAGAGCCAGTGTTGGCATAGCTGTTAAGAGTGTCAGACTAGTATGTGGGAGACCCAGGTTTGAATCCCCACTCATACTGTGGGGACCTTGGGCCAGTCACCAATGTTCCCTCTAAGCTGTGAAAACGTGTGAGCAAAAATTCCGCTTTGTGAGCTACTGGCATTAAAGTTGTGGGCAAGTGATTTGGCTATTGCATAAATTAGTTTGCTCTGGGGCCATCCTTCCTGAGCGAAGACAAAAATGTGTGAGCTGGAGGCTAAAAAAACTGTGAGCTAGCTCATGCTAACTCAGCTTAGAGGGTTTCACTGCCAGCCACACTATCTCATCCTAACCAACCTCACAGGGTTGTTGTGAGCATAAAATGGAGGAGAGGAGAATGATGTTAGCTGCCTGGGTCTTCATTGGGGAGAAAGGCAGGGTATAAATGAATTAAACAATTTCTTTCAGATTTCAGGGCAGTGCCTTTGAAAGGTTGAATTTGGAGAGGGATTTCAGCTAGAATCTATAGTATGCCATAGAATTTGCCCTCTGAAGCTGCCGCTTCCTTCAGGGGAACTGATCTCCAAAACTTGGGGACCAGAGCTGTAATTCTAGGCAAACTCCAGGCCTGTCCTGGAGGTTAGCAACTCTAGTCTGTGTGGGGACAGTTTTTGGAAGATGACAGGAAGTGTGCAGTTCTTTTTATATTTTGTTCTTAACACAGCTGCTATTTTGTATTTGAGATCTACCAACTGGGATCCGTGGGCATGGCAAAGTATACTGAATTAACAGGCAAATGAAAACTGCAGATATTGTTTATGCAAGATAAAGTTATAACTTGGAAGTATGAACTGTAGTGGTTTTCTTGGTCTTTATTGAGCTGTGATATTTCGGTTCTGATGTAATAAGCCAGGAGGTGTAGCATAAATGACCATCTTTTTCTGTTGGGTCGTATAACCAGTATAAATTTAATCCTGTTATTTGTATTACTAAAATTGAAAGCACCTATCATGGTTTTAAAAAATTGGTTCCACAGGGAGTCATTTATGGACTAGGGAGACAAATAAAAGCCTTCACAAGTTCATGGAAATGTTCATTCTAATGATTTGCTCAGCCCCCCACTTCTGTTCCCACAAAACCTATTTATACATTTCTGCACTACAGTATATGTTCTTTTTTTCTCCATGGAATTAAGACTATTTGTTAGTAGCAACCACATATAAAATGGCCTTGAGTCTGTCATTAAAGAGTACTAATAAGATTTATTCCCTCAAAGCTGGTAATCTGACCACATCATCCTGTACTAGCTCCTCATGACTATTCAATCATCTGTTATTTGGTGGGAAGGAAGGAATGCTAGTAGACCATGAGAGGATTAAAAAAAGAGGTCAGAATTGATGCTGAACAACATTCTTAGGAATCTTGGACCAGTCATGCTCTCTCAGGCTGCTTTGATCCCCACTGTGGAGAAAGGTGGGGTGTAAATGAAGTAAATAAATAATAAATGTAGCTGAAGATCAGAGGTATATCAAAACTCTCTTGATGACTGGCTGAGAAGGAGAGAATGAGGCAGGGAAAGGGGAGAGGGTATGGGAACTGTCAGGAGGAGTACAAAGGGAAATAATGCGGGGAGGGATATACAGGGGAAAGTGAGACCCCCCCCCAGTTCCTGAGGGGTTCCCTACTATACAAGTGTGCCATAGTTTTTTCTATGTGGAATCTGCTGGGGGAAGCTGATGACAGAGGGGCAGATAAAGGTAGACTGGCTATTGGATGGGAAGGAGAGAAGGAAGCAGGAAAAGGGGAGATACTATGGGTAGAGATGTAAAATTTCCGGAAATTTTGAACCTCGGAAAAAACCCTGGTTTTTTCCGTTTTTTTCTGGGGGGAAACAGAAATTTTCGGGAAAATGGAAAAACATGCTACATTAGCACTTCTTTTTTCTTTTCCAGATTGAAAGTCATTCTGTTACTTTAGGAACATAAAATATGATTATGGACATTTTTACTTGGCATGAGATTATCACAACTAGCATATTAAAAATATAGTGTATCCAAACAATTGTTACAAACAATACCCACCCACATGCAAAAACAAAACTGAAACCTTTTTCTTTTCTTGTGAAAATAGCACCTCCTAAAGGAAGAAATGCATTTTGTTCTTGCATTGTTCAGTTTGTAACCTAGGACTTGCTTGTCCTCAGTGCACAGAAATTAGATCAATTTGATACCATACATATTTTTTAGAAATGATTTGGAAAATATTTGAACACCTTGTCCTAAAATATTTTATTCATCATGTTAAAATAAAACGTTCCATAATTTAAAAAAATTCTTTTCTTTTTTCAATTTTTCCAATTTTTCGGAAAAAAACAAAAAAGGCTTCAGGGAAAAAATGGGAGAAAAGCTCCCGCCCCCCAAATTTTTCCAGTTTTTTTCCGGGCCTTCACATCTCTAACTATGGGGGGCTTTCAGGGAAGGGAAAGGGGGATGGGAAAGAGGAAATAGTGGGGGAGGGGGAAATTAGATGCCCCCTGAAACTCCTTGTGGGTTCCCAATTGTTGTATGTAATAAGAAATCCAAACACAAATTAATAAAAGAAGCTACTGAACCTGTATGTCTTGCAAGGAACAACAGAATCAGACAAATAACTTTGGTAATGAGGACAGTAGACTGTGGTGAGAATGCACCGCCACAAAGAGCGTCAGACTAGGATCTGGGGGACCCTGGTTTGAATCCCCACTCTGCCATGGAGGTTTGCTGTGGTGACCTTGGACCAGTCATGCTCTCTCAGCCTAACCTATCTCACAGGGTGGTTGTGAGGATAAAATGGAGGAGACGAGAATGCTGTAAGCAGCTTGGGACCCCGTTGGGGAGAATGGTGGGCTATGAAGTAAGTAAGTAATTAAATAAATAAAAACAGTGCGTGTATCTGGGTGGAAGTAATGGAGAAATGGAAATGAGCAAGAAGGCAAAGAGGTACATGAAGGAGATGAAAAGATGAGATTCTTGCATGTTTTGCCAGTTTGGGTACCTAGGAGGCAGGTCAGGGGAAAAAAATAACCCTATAAATTCTTCATCCTTATAGCTTTTACCTATAGTTCATAATTTGAGGCCCATACATCCAAAAGTGAGTGTGTGTCTAGGGTTGCCAACCTCCAGGTAGTGGCTAGAGATCACTGGGGATTACAACTGACTTCCAGGTGACTGGAATTTCCCAACCCAGAGATGGCATCCTGCCTGATGCTATCTGTGATTATCAAAGCTTTTCTAATTGTCTGCACCCTCTCTCATGGACCTTCACTATCAGTGAATTTCGGAAGGGTTTTCCGGGATTCAGTACATTAATATAAATCATGGGATGCTTATTGTAATTGCAGTTTGTGAAACAAGCGCAACTTTTTCAGGATTTCAATTTTAGCAGATCAAATTAGCATGATGGATGCATCAAACTCATTAGAATCATATTTGCTGTCTCGTTTTAGCTGTGCAAACAAAGCAAAAGACAGTTTCAGAGGTCTTTCAAAATGTGTTGCCATTATTCTTTATTAATAGCTAGGTGCCCGTGCCTTTTACTAGTCTCTCTTAACTCTACTTTGGAATATACAAAATGGCTTCCCTCTCATATCTTGCTATTTCCATCGTATTTCTGAGCTAAAGTGCTTTTTCACTTCATTGGGTTTTGGGTTTTGAATTTTGATTTTATTTATTTTTTAAATCTTGTATGTACTTTAGTCTATAGCTGGAATTCTAACATTCAGAAAGTTTTAAACTTTTGGTTTGTTAGCTGCATATGTTGGTGTACTCTGTGTTGTGTCTGCGCATTTCTCGGTTTGGCAAGAAGCTTTCACTTTATTCAGGATTTGAACTAAAGCTGATTGGCTTCATTTCCATTGATTTTCTTTTAATTTATTATTGTGTCTCAGAATAGATCATCCAGTTCTTCATGTTTCTTGGAATGATGCTGTAGCATTTTGTACTTGGGCAGGAAAACGGCTACCAACAGAAGCTGAATGGGAATACAGCTGTCGCGGGGGCCTTGAGAACAGGTATTTACCATTCTGCCCCTCCCCGCCTTTTGCAGATGATGGCAAAAATGAGGAACAGAGTCCTCCCCTCACAAGTCTTACTGGTCTTTGCTTTTGCATAGATAGGCAACATGCAGCCCTCAAATAAATTTTATTTATTCATTTATTTAGGTGCAAAGCTGTCATTTCCCCCCCTCCCAATGCAGAATCCTAAAAACCTATCATTTCACAAAAGTAAAAGGATTTTGTCTTTCATGTTTGAGACATGCTGGAAAACAGAGGCTAGATGGCCATCTGACAGCAATGCTGATTCTGTGAACTTAGGCAGATCATGCGAGGGAGGACAGGAAGGGTTGCCTCGGTGCTTAGTGCTTGTGGCCATTTCTTACATGCCCAGGGAAATGCCGATTGCCACTTTGGGGTCAGGAAGCAATTTTTCTCCAGGCCAGTTTGGCCCCCAGTGATCCTGGAGGTTTTTTGTCATTTTCTGGGTGTGGAATAGCAGTCAGTGCAGGTGTGGAGGGGGAGGTATTTGTGAATTTCCTGCATTGTGCAGGGGGTTGGACTAGATCCTGGAGGTCCCTTCCAATTCTATGATTCCATGATTTTATTTCACATTCTGATGATAAACAGCCATGTGAGGGAACATTATCACATCTAAATTTTAAGAAGGAAAAGTGAGGGGGGGACACACATTAAAATTCTACAGGTGAAAGGGGTGGGAGTTCTAAATTTAGAAGAAGCTGAAAACATCCTGGGGAGTGAAGGAGAAATTGGGCTCACATTTCACTTGCCACAGGATTTAGTGTTCATGCACCTTCACTTCAGTTTAAGCTTTTCCTGTTTAAGGGCTTGCCAATGCATGCCGTTTTCTTTTTCTGTTGTTCCCTGTCAGCATGAGTGCAAATGTGTAGTCTTTATCTCTCAAGACCTTTTCAGGTGTTTTTTTTTGGGGGGAGGGGTAGGGGGAACTCAAAGAGACTGGGTTTTCCGGTTATCACCCCCTATTATTTTACTGCAAGAATAGAGATCCTTCTCCTATCTTGCCTCCCCCACCCCATTTGAGTCTGAATTTGTCTATACATACTTTGCTTATCCTGGGAATGGTAAAGGGAGGTCAGAATAACTCTCTTTGAAACATCGTAAAGATGGTCAGTGATTATTTTGAAATAGCACAAGCGTGAAACACAACGTGCCTGGGAACCAAGAATGTTTGTGAAAAGGCATGAGCCTTTCAAAGAACAAAACCCCAGTCCCCCTCCATACATGCCAAGTTATTGGATCTTTGCCTCCACTAGAGATGCATTAGATGACAAAGATTTGCAATTTGTGTTACATATCAAAATGGAGGTTGTAATAACATGTTATACTACTTGTATTTTAAATAATCTCATCTCTGATTTATAATCCCAAAATGTAGTCCAGTAATTGCTTCTCTGTTTCCTAAAGCTACATTATAAGGATAAATCCTCGTTTAAGAATAAATCCTTAAATTACAAGGATAATCTGGAGTCCCGTTTTCTCTCTACAAGAATATCCATCCTCAAGTCTTAATTGTCTATCTTGTTAAATAAATTAAGTTTTGTATGTTTTGTTCATATGGCTTCCGGGGCCTAATCTATACAGCCATATTTATAGTGTGACAGTCCTATCCTAAACAGCATTAATTTATACCTAAATCCATTGAAATCAGTGGAGTTAGAAGCAGGGGTCATTTCGTAGAAAAAGAGCTAGGGGGACTCATTAGCATAACTCATTAGCATATGCCACACCCCCTGACATCACCGGAAGTGTGTCCTCCCCACAGCCGGCGGCGACCTCCAGTGGGCACCAGCAGGGAGCTCCAGGCCCTGCCCTCCCGCACCTCACCCGGGGGGATGGCGTCCCCCCGCATCCCCCCCCCAAATGACCCCTGGTTAGAAGGATGCTTAGGATGGCACTTTTGAACATCTGTTTTTTGTTTTTGTTTGGAGATAAGATTTTGGAACAGTTTTCTTGTAAGACCAACGGGGGTTGCTGTTTAATATGTACATCTGCAATGCTGCCTGGTAAAACTACCATATAAGTACATGATACTGAACACATCTCTTTTTTTTTTTAAAGCATCACTCTGTGTACAGCACATAGCTTCATACTAAGTGATGTATAAAAATACCCTTTTGAAACTGGTAGCCACTGACTCCTCTTATCTTTGATCTCCTCTTGACTCCAAGCCAAAAGCAGCAGGGATATTTTCCTGGGTAACATTTGTCTGTGCTTCTTTCGGCAGACTCTTCCCTTGGGGGAACAAGCTTCATCCAAGAGGTCAGCACTATGCTAATATCTGGCAGGGAGAATTCCCTATGAGCAATACGGAGGAGGATGGATACAAAGGAACTGCACCTGTAAGTATGAGTGAAGCAGACTAGCAGCATCCCTAGAGTTTATGGATAACCTCTTGAATGCAAAAAAATAAGTAAGAGTGTTGTGGCAGGCTTTTCTTTTATTCTGGCACAACTTTTCATTGACGAGGGTTCAGTTTGTTAGATGCATGTAGTGGGTCCTCATGGAGCAGATAAAGTTACAAAAGGGGGGAAAGTTGCAAGTAGGGCAGCAAACTTTGTAGATTTGGTGAGGACCTATCCCAGAACCAATATATGGCAAAGATCCCTATCCACCTTGGGACACAGTCTGGGAGGCAGGCAGTTCTTCTGTGTTTCTTTGTCTTGCCTTTCTTCAATGAATGCTCTCCCCCCTCCAGTTGTCTTCTCCATTACAGATTGCCAGGACTCCTTTGAGACGCTGGTGGGGGGATGTTCCAGGAGCCGGAAGCATTGCCCCCCGACATGCTGACATCACCAGAAGGGATGTCACATGCTGTGCCTGTGTCACCCAGACGTGATGTAGGCACATTGGGGCAACGCTCTGGGTTTTGGGCAAAACTCTATGGTAAAATTGCCCTCAAACCATAGAGTTTTGCCCAAAAACCAGAGTGCCCCCAACGTGCCTATGTCACTTCCAGGTGATGTAGGACCATCACTCCATGTTGCTGTTGGGGGGATTTCCTCCCACTGGCCTGTTGGTTGGTGGCGGGCAGAAGCCCACAAAACTGAGGGATCCCCCACCCCCAGCTGGGGACTGGCAATCCTAGATCTGGTACAGACTTAATATTGCTAATCTACTGCTATTAAAAAAGCTGGAAGGGGCCAAAGGCTTATATGTTCTTTCCCATCTCCTGCACAAATCCTACCTTTGTCAGTATTAATGACAGGGCAGCATTGACACAAGAGCAGGACTAGTGCTGTGTGCGCAGTTTCCTATTGCTTCAAAGATTCCCAGCACCATGTATCTTTTGTAAGTGACATGTGTCATAATAAGGATATGAAGAAAAATTAACTAGCTGGATCAGGTATATAAAGCTCAGTGCCTTGATAGTAACAGAAGGTCAGAACTAAGAAGTCTGGACATGATGATGATGGACAGGTTTGGTGTAGCGCAGTGGTATTTCAGTTCAACTTTTCCAGATGCAGGACCCACATTTAATGCCCAGATGCCAGCATGGAATATCAAAGTACACTAAAGAAAGTCACATATGATATCTGTTTTGGATAGATTGTATGATAAAGCAGGCTCATCTGGTTTTAAGTTGTCAATAAAACCCTAAGCTATATCCCCCAGAAGGGAAATGGCAGTTTCACATTGATCAATGGCGGATTGAAGGAGCAAAATCAACGTACCGATAACATTGTTTGGTCATCCTGTCACTGCCTCTGATCCTCTGTTTTAGAACTGATTGGACAGAAGTCTCATTGGAGGGAATTTTGAATTTCTGTCCCAAGTTCTAATTGGCCTAGAAGCAAACTCTGAAACTGGAGACAAAATGTAAATTGGGGAGCCCTGGGTACAATCCTTTGTCAAGGGTTTGTGAAGCTTTTGCCAAACTATGTGGGGAGTCTTGGGCCATGCTTTTTTTTTTTTAGTATTCTCTAATCTGGGAGAACCGGGTCTGATTCCCCACTTCTCCACTTGCAGCTGCTGGACGACCTTGGGCAAGCCATAGTTCTGTCAGAGCTGTTCTCTTAAAGACAGTTCTGGAAAGAGCTCTCTCAGCCCCCACCTACCTCACAGGGTGCCTGTTGTGGGGAGGGGAAAGGAAAGGAGATTATAAGGGGCTCTGAGACTCCGAGTGAAGGGCGGGGTATAAATCCAATTTCTTCTTCTTGTGTTCTACCTAGATGGTTCCCAAATATCTTGTGGTTTTTTTTAGTATGAATGCTTATTTAGTAAAATGTATAACATTTGCTGTCTGGTCCAGAAGAGAACTTGCCCACTAGCTACCTGCTCTGTTCACAAATCTACCTTAGAAGTGCTGAAACAAAGGTGAAGGTAGGAGGACAAGTGGTGGCAGTGAGCAAGTCTTCCTGGTTCAAAAGACAAAGGACTTTACTGGATTGAATTTCTGGTATGGTAAAGTGAATGGCTGGTGTTAGGAGGAAGATCTGTGGGGATGTTCTGCCAGTCAGTATGTCTAAGGTTAACCTTGCTGGAAGGATAAAATGAATGTGCAAGAAACCACGTACACTCCTCTGAGGGCTTTGGAAGAAACGGATGAAAACATAAGAAGTAGCCATTCTCTATTCTTTGTCACCAGCAAAGACATTGCCTTTTAATTTTAGTGACTCATAGCCAGGCTCTCTTCTAACTTTACTTTAATCTTAAAGTATAACCCCCTGAGAAAAGATGCAGAAGGATTTTCATGAGCTTAGGATGGCGATAGCTCATGAAATTTCATCAGTTCATACTGTATCCAAGCTTTTATGAAACTTGATTCCAAGGAACCAAAGCTGTGGAGTTAATTTGTTTTGCTATTTTTGTACAGCCAGTAGAGGAAAGCAGCTCCCACAATTTTTCAGGGCACTAATGTCTCCCACTGAACTTTTACTGTACCTTTCTCAGTAAGAGAAACTCTTTGTGTTGTGAAATCTTGGCTCTTGTAACATTCAGATTTTTCACAGATAAGCTTTGAGCTTCAGTATTGTAGTTTGTGACAAGGGCAAATGTCAGAATCATGTGGTTTCATGCAACACTTTTGTCAATTAAGGGTTATTAGATGAAGCTTTGGCAGACTTTAAATTGTAAACTGAGACTGTCACTTTTTGGGGATCAGTAAAGAAATAATTAACCAATCCAGGATGAAGAATGTACAGAAAAACAGGCTTGTTCCGATGAATTCTGAGGAAGAGAGGCAGTTGCAGATCCAGGGTTGCCAAATCTGAAATTCTGACTGGCGGGGGACCGTCCGTCCGGTCCGGGAGCTGCTGGAAGATGCGCGCGCGCGCCGCCAGGACGTCAGCCGGAAGTGACGTCACACGTTGGGCGGGGCCACGCCGTTTGAGGGGAAAACAAAGAGTTTTCCCCTCAAATGGCTGCCATTTGAGGGGAAAACTCTTTGTTTTCCCCTCAAATGGTGTGGCTCCGCCCCCAGCGTGCGACGTCACTTCCGGGTGACGCGCACGCGGGGGTGGGGTTTTCCCCGGGCCCCGATTCTGGCGCGCCGGGAATCGGGGCTCCGAAACGGGGGATTCCCCGCCCCCCGGCTGCATTTGGCAGCCCTATGCAGATCCCAATTCTTCACCACTATGCTGGAAAGCCTGTGGTGAGGCTGGTTCATACATCCACTGTTGGTGGACCTGTACAGAAATCCAAACATTCCGAAAATCTGTTTTAAGACACATAAGACAGCAAATTTATTGCCCTATTTTAGAATGAGTGTTAATCTTGTAAACATTTATGTAGTGACAAAATAGATTGTAGTGCATTTTGTTTCTTTATACTAGTTTTATTATTGTTATAAATACCAAAATGTTTAATAATTTTTTTTAAAGATTGATACATTTACTCTTTAAGTGAAAGGGAATTGGACCCTATGTCAAGAACAAAAAAATAGTCTAAAGTAACAACATATTTGGAAGATTAACATTTTCTAAAATATGTAGTGGCACAGTTCACAAATATAGATATACATCCAGTGCCTACTGCCAGTTTTTAGAAAAAATTGTCAGTTGAGAGACTACCTTTCTCATTTTCAATTATTTTTGAAGAGGCCTTGGAAAGGAGCCTTTGTGATGAGGTTGCAAGTTTCTATATCCTAGGGTTGCCATTTGCCCAGTGGGGGTGGGGGATCTCCCAATTTTGTGGGCTCTTGCCAGTAGGTGAGGATCCCCCCCCCCCAGTGATACTGTATGCAATATGCCTGCATCACCCAGAAGTGACATCGGCAACATCGGGGGGGGGGGGGAAACACTCTGGCTTTTGGGCAAAACTCTGTGCTTTGATGCTGATTTTACCATAGAGTTTTGGCCAAAATCCAGAGCGTTGCCCCAACATTGCCAGCATGCTGATGTCTCTTCCCTTTTGCCTGCTGGCAGATGCATGGGGGGGGGCATTCCGGAAGTGGGAAATGACATCACTGTTTCGGGGGGAATGGGGGGGCGACGTCACTTCCCACTTCCGGAATGTCCCCCCCATCCCTCTGCCAGCAGGCAAAAGGGACCTGGCAACCCTACTATATCCTGATCACTTTAGTTTCTTTTCTGGATGTGATAACCTTCAGCCTTACTAATTTGTGGTTTGTCATATCACCATGTGAAAATCGGAATCATAAAAAAATAATCATAAGCTGTTAACTCTTTAACTTTGATTATGAGGAAGGTAAAAGCGGGAATTAGTTGGGAAGAAAGGTGGAGACCCTTTTCAGTTTTCATAGTGGATAATCAAGGCTCGTATTTAGAATGTAAGCTACTTGCTCTGTGAGTTGCCAGAGCCTCATTCCTATTAATGCAGTCACAAGACACATTGATTGGAAGCATCTGGCTACTTCACCACTATTGTCTCGCAACTAATCACCCACTCCATGATAAATGTCAGGGTTGGAATGACTGCAGTTTATAACTAAACAATTGGACCTGTAAACATATTATTTTTAAAAAAAATCTCACTCAAGTCTGAGAGCAATTTGTCTCCATCCATAAAGATGGGGCACTCATACTGTCACTTAGCGAGAAAAATGTCAAGGTTTTTCTACTTAGGTTGTATGATTGCCACAGTAAGGTGAGCAATGGCATATGTGAGTTTGGTTAAGGGAGAAGGACCCTTCACGGGTAAGTACCAATGGTCGATTTCCATGTAGCTGGAAGAGCTGAAGAAGTGAAGATAAGAAGTGGGGAAATTCCACAATTAGTGAGGGTTGAAAGGCTTTGAAGGTTATGAGGTAGATAGTAAGGCTGAACTACAGTCTTTTGTCCAGATGAATATCTGTGTATTTGTTCTTCAGGAGCAAAGCACACTCCCTTTTGAATAAAGAATGTTTGTAATGGTGGAAATGCGGTCAGTTGATCTGTTGAAATGTTTGAACAAAGTCCGAGTCCAGTGGCACCTTTAAGACCAACAAAGTTTTATTCAAGGTATAAGCTTTCATGTGCACACATACTTCTTCAGATACAATGAAATGGAAGTTACCAGTCCCTACATATAGGTAAAGGGTAAGCAGTAAATTAGCATACATACAGCATAATGAAGATGTTTAACAGATCCATGGACCAAACAGGAATAATAAGCTTAGTTTATATGGTTACCATTTTGGGGGGTTTAATTCCAGGGTAAAGCATAGTGAAGGAAATAAATATGTCAAAATTGGAGATTGATGGATAGATGTATCATAAATTATGGATTGCTGAGAGTAATTAACTGAGACCCTGCCATTACACTCCATCTGTCTCCTCTCAGGCATGGAGGTGACCTTACAGCATCTTCTTTTTTGGAGTGGGGCGATTGGCTGTGTGGAGTCCCCCTGTCCCCAGACCAGAGAAATTCATTCCAATCTACCATTCCAAATTACATTACATTCTACTATTCATCACAGTCTACTATTCTAATCTATTATTCCAAATAAGAAATAGAATAAAATAAAGAGGACGTATGGCTGGCTGACGTATGATTTGACTGTTGTCAAGAAAAAGTGTTCTCCTTGCCTCATTTAGGAAACGGCCAGTCTTCTCAGTGAGGGCAGGAGTCTTTGACCTTATCCCTTTCTGTCTAATAAGCTTATCTGTGTAAGTTGCCTCAGGGGTGCGGTTGGGTCAAAAGGGGAGACTGAAATTAGCTTAATGAATCATTCTGTATATGGCCCGTTTAAAAAACAAACGAAAAGCCACAAGGCAAATGCCCAGCTATCACTTCCTTAACACTCAGAGCAATGGCAGCTTTAGACAAGGACTGCAGGCCAGGAAAGGTAATGAGAGTGAGAGTTGGGGAGACTGAGGAGAGAGAGAGGCAAAACAAGAAGTCTATTGATTGTGCACTCCCCTGCTTTCCTCTGGAGTAATCTAGTGGTTCTTAAGGCATTAAACTGTAGACCATAGTCTTTGTCTTTTTGTGTGTGTGTAGGTGACTGCATTTCCTCCAAATGGTTATGGCTTGTACAACATGGTGGGAAATTCTTGGGAATGGACATCGGATTGGTGGGCTGTTAATCATTCTGCGGAGGAAACATACAACCCAGTGAGTATTTTGTTAGTAGTAAGTGAGATGGAAGATATGCCTCTTTGCTCTTCCTCCTTCTTCCCCATGCGTAACTCATGTTTAAGTCTGGGGAGCCCACAGAAAAACTGAGGGAGATATGGGGGGGGGAGTGTTCCAAATTGTTCCCATGGTTCCTCGCAGACCCCAAGTTTGTAGCAAATGTTTGTCAACGAAGAAAACAGTCCGTTGCAAGCTCTGCTATTAGTCAAAGTGTAACTAATTTTTTTCAACCCATGTGTAAATATCTGACAAATTGTGATGTAATGGTAAAGGCAGATGTTTAAAAATGGGATAAAACTGCCTGGAATACATACCTGAAGCATTCTGAGGCATTTGTTTCCAGTGTAAAATGTGTGTGGAACATACATCTCCTTCTGATCCTTGTTCTGACCAGAATCTGGGACGTCAAAACATAGAATCCTGGATTCAATGGCTTCTGTAGCCCCAGCTGCCTTTCCTTCATAACATGCTTTCACTCTGCTTTCTTTAATATGCACGCACACACGTGCACAAACACACCTCCTTGATCCAGAGCCACTGTTTGGGCATTATGCTTTAAGCATTTGAGTATTTAAGTAAACTGAACATCAGTCCAGAAAAGCTGGTGCTGCTGATACTGGGGAGACCAAGGGTCCTCTTTGGAGTGGTGTCATGTATAATGGAGCAGGTAGGCCTCTCCTCATAAGTGCTCAGGCTGCATTTATACTTAAATTAGGGCTGCTTCTGGAAAAGGCCAGGACTGCCTTTTATCAATCACATGTGATGACTATGTCTGTTCTTTGAGTCCTGGGGTCTTGCTGTGGTTATCCATGCTGAACAACTGTGAGGCTCAACTATTGCAAGGCATTCGACATGGGGTGTGCCTTGAAAATTCTCCAGAAGCTTCCGCTGGTTCAGAGTGCTGCAGTCTACCTCCTGCCCGGTGTGGGGAGGCAAGATGTTACTCAACCCCTAAGGGGGAAACTGCATCACCTCCAAGTTTGCTTTGGGGCTTAGTTCAAGGGGCTGTTTTTGCCCTTTTAAAGTTCTTCACAGCCTGGGAGCAGTATACTTCTTCAAGAATCTCTATATTAGGACCCCTCAGTTACCACCAATTGAGATCTTTTGATAGGCCTTGCTCTGTGTTCACTCCCTGTGAGAAGTCAGAACAGTCATCTCAGCAAGCAGGGCCTTGTCAACTACAGCCCTGACTGGTTTTGGGGCACTCTCTCCTAGAAGACTGACCTTGTGCATTTCTCTCTTGCCTTTTAGATAGGGCTGCCAGCTGCAGATTGTGAAATTCCTGGAGATTTGGAGAGTGGAGCCTGAGGAGGGTGGGATTTGGGGAGGGGAGAGACCTCAGTGGGATATAGTGCCATCAAGTCCAACTTCCAAAGCAGCCATTATCTCCAGGGGAACTGATCTCTTGCCTGGAGACCAGCTGTAATTCTGAGGACTCTCCAGCCACCACCTAGAGACTGGCAACCCTACTTTTAGGTAGCAATCTAAAGCCATTTCTTCAAGGACAGTGTATCTAACTATAACTAGTGCCTTTATTATTACGTACCTTTTGTGGTATTGATTTTATTCAGTATTTTTGCTGTCTCATATGGCTGTTTTAAGCTGAATGTCTTTCTTTTGTTGTATACTGCCTTGAACACACAGAGAGGTGGGATGAAAATGCTTTAAATGAAGAGGGAAGCTGGAAGGGGAGAAATGGCATTTTCTCTAGAATTTGCTGCCCAAAGCATCCTGCTTCATGCTGGCATTGTAGGTTTTATATTTAAAAACTTTCTTTCTTCACAACGGCTTGTTTGGAACAGCTTATTTTATTCAAAAAGTATGATCACTTTTGGATATAGAGGCTCTTGAAACCTACTGGTAAAAGGAAAAATTTAATCACTTGAAGTCAGATGCACAGACCCACATACTTTCTTACCTGTAACTTGCTGTCCTGTATAACAGTCTTTTAAGATGACCCTCAACTTTCATTTGTATCCTGTGAAAACAGGAGTGTTGTTTTGTTCCTGCAAATACATGGGGCAAACAATCATTTTCTTAATCTGCTCAGGTCTTGCTGGACTGTTCAGTGAACCAAACACTTTCTTGGTTCCATATTGAATAAGACTTGTTCTGTCTGTCCTGATGCCTTCCACTCTGACTAGCAGTGGCTTTTTCTTATGCAGAGCACTTGTCTTGTCTGGCGGCCAGAAATCCTTTTTAACTGGAGATGGTGGGTCATGAACTTGGAATGTTCTGCTTGTAAACATAAGAAGAGCCAAACAGATCAGACCACGGTTCCATCTGGCCTCACATACTGTTTCCCACAATGATGGAACCAGATTCTTCTCAGAAGCCCATAAACAGAGCATGGAATACAGTAGCTTCCCCTGTTGCGCATCTCCAATAAATTGGCCTTTAGAGGCATGCTTGCTTCTGAGTGTGGAGGTTTTGTGTAGCCAAAGCCATTGATCTGTGAACTTGTGTAGGCTACATTAAAGCCATTGAAGTAAGTGGCCATAACTTCAGTTTGGTGTAGTGGTTAAGTGTGCGGGCTCTAATCTGGGAGAACTGGGTTTGATTCCCCACTCTTTCACTCACAGCTGCTGGATGCTTTAAATGAAGCATCAGACCTTGGGCAAGCCATAGTTCTGTCAGAGCTGTTCTTGAAAAAGAGCAGTTTCTGTCAGAGCTCTCTCAGCCCCACCTACCTCACAGGGTGTCTGTTGTGGGGAGGGGAAGGGAAAGGAGTTTGTAAACCACTCTGAGACTCCGAGTGAAGGGCGGGGTATAAATCCAATCTCCTCCTCCTCCTCCTCTTCCTCCTCCTTCTCCTCTTCTTCTCAAGCTCCACTGAATTGTGGTCGTGCCTTTTCCCCTTCATGTTCCTGTTTTCCGTAAGGCACAAAGCCATGCTCCCCCATAAGATGTTGCTGAGGAAAATGAAAAGTAGTGTGACTTGTCAGAAGGCCCCCTCCCCCAATTTGCCAACACAGACCAATAATAAGAGGGATGGATATTTTGGGCTGGCACCAGTAGAACAACATATATTTTTAATACATTGAAATATGGGTCCTTAAAGTTCTCCCTCACCACCTTTCTTTTCTGCCTCACATAGCTATTCATTTGCTTGTTGGCACTTAAACTTTTAAAATTATATAATACCAAAAAATAACTCCCTTAACTGGATTATATCACTTTATGGTACTCAGGCAGTGGTTCTGTTTCTGATGCTAAAATTCAGTCCCTCTAGCTTTTCCTTTGCAATGTGTATTTCTAGAAACTTGGTAACCTATCCCCAAAGCTCATTGTCCAATATTTACGGAATGTTCTTTTGAGTGAAGGAAAAGACGTAGCTTCTTTGTTTCATAGGTTGAAACAGATTGAATGCTAGACGCTTGACATTCCTGAGGCAGCAGAGAGATGAGATGATTTAGCAGAGAAATAACTACTTTCTATTTCTGTTGGAATAAGTTGCTGGGAAGAATCCATTAGTTAAGATGTAACGGTTGTACTTTTATCTTTTAATGCTTGCAAACATAAAACTATTCCTCTTAAATGTGTATTTCCCCATTTTTCCCAGTTGTGGCTTTTCCTTACATGATGAGAAATAAATATTATAAATTTTAGGATTTTTGAAATGGTTAAATATACTACAAATTGTTGTTGTTCAGTTGAACATTCGAGTCCGACTCTTCACGATCCCACGGACCACATCATGCCAGGCCCTCCTGTCTTCCGTCATGCTCTGGAGTTTGCTTAATTTTATGTTCGTTGCATTGATAACACTGTGTAACCATCTCATCCTTTGCCATCCCCTTCTTCTTCGACCTTCAATCTTTTCCAGCATCAGCGTCTTGTCCAGTAAGTGCTCCCTTCTCATTTGGTGGCCAAAGTATTTGAGCTTCAGCTTCAGTATCTGGCCTTCCAGGGAACAGTTAGGGTTGATTTCATTTAGGACTGACTGATTTGATCTCCTTGCAGTCCAAGGGACTCAAGAGTCTTCACCAGCACCATGATTCTGAAGAATCCAGGGGTCTTTTCGACCCGGAGCCCTCTGGAGCGCCGCTCCGGCAGCCCGCGTGGTGGCAAGCCCCGCCCCGGATCCCCCGAGCCCGCGCAGGAGCGCTGCAGCTTGGATGAGGCCGGGAGAGCCCCGTCCCCAGGTCCCTCGAGCCCGCGAGAGAGCGCTGCGGCTCGGGGGAGGCCCGGAGAGCCTCGCCCCCGGGTCCCCCAAGCCTCCTCTTTGCTCCCTGGGGCCGCTGCGCTTCGGTGTGAGCCCCAGGGAGCGAAGAGGAGGCCCGTCGCCGCCTCCCTAGAGCTTGCGCCGGAGCGCAGCGGCCCCAGGGAGCCAAGAGGAGCCTTGAGGAACTGGGGGCGGGGCTCTCCGGGCCTCCCCCGAGCGCTCTTGTACAGGCTCGGGGCTCTCCCGGCTTTCCCCCAGCCGCAGCGCTCCCCCGCCGGCTCGGGGG